TTTTAGGTATACGGGGAAAAAGTGGGAACGAAAATCTTAACTGAGCCTCTTTTTCTCAGGTGGCCAACTGACTATTAGCTAAAACTTCAGAATTGTTTAGCTTAGGGCTAGCATAGTCAGCAATGCCATCAAACTTGACAAAATCACAATTCTCATCAGTATTGCAAATTGATAATTTATCCACAAGAGAAAAAGTGGCAACACATTTGGTAAGGTACAGTGACATTTCTTTCATGATACTTTCTGATCATATTGACATGACAAAGCTGTGTCTTTTTATGATGGTCTGGTGTTTGTACAACATAGTCAGTATCTCACATAAGGACCGTGGTACCTAGCACGAAATGGCGGACCAGGGATAGACAAACACACAAAGAGTTTATCGCAAGGACTCACATTTCATTATGTAAGTTTGTCCTGGGATTCCTTCAAGTTATCCACAGCAACTTCACAAGCTTTGAAATCCTAGCCCGAACTGATGAGACATACTCCAACAAACTCATTTCAAACCTACCACTAATCCAATCCTAATGTAAGTGCTTTATATGTCCACGAGCAGAATGGCCAAAGACAAGGCCAAAAGGATGAAAACTGAGGGACTCCTGAACTAACTCCATCGCAGCAAACAACACACACCTGCATCCTTCTTAGTCTCATCCCAATCCTTCTAAGTTTCAAAACAGTAAGTCCTTGTCATATTCTTAAGATCCTGATCAAACTTCTCTAAAGCCCCTTCAGACTTAGGATGAGTTATGCCTAACAGGTGCGTGCTGAGGTGATACCAAACGGTATGTGCAAGTGACGATATCTGTCGAATTACGTGTCAAAGGTGCTAAGCAGTGACGTCTCATGTGTCAAAGGTATCTGCCAGAACCCTTTTGAAGTATCCTTTTGGTCAATAGCTTTGCAGATGGCATTCTGGACATTATTTCTTTAATCATTTTCATTGGATAATGTCTTTTCAATGCACGTTTGAGATGCATGTCATCATGGTGTCACCACTGTCACTGCTAGTTTGACTGCTCCAGCTGTGGAAATGAGTTCTTTGTGTCTCACTTGTTTGAACAAAAAGAGAGACATCACATCAACATTGAAGCTTGCTGGTTTGTCATTTATTGTGATTGTTGTTTGTGCTTCTGATCGAATGTTGTCTATACCATTTATCTCAATAGTGTCAATAAACAAGCACTCATTTTTATCTTGTTCATACCAGTCGTCTTGAGTTTCACAATGGCTATATGGCTGTAGATCATGAATAGTTTGTGATCCTTGATACTTTGGTATACTTTTGGCTCTTTATGAAATCTACACCTGCCTCTTGGACTATCAAATGTCCACTGGCACTGTGACGGTATGTCTAACGGCCAGATGGACTGAACTGACAAACTAATTGGAAGTGGTTGAAGTTTTTTTCATTTTCACCGGCCTTGTTTGTGTTTCCACCCACAGCATCTGCAGTCTCTCATATTTCCTTCAACAGGATGTGATCAATAACTTGGTTTCTTTTGACTCACAAAGTCGAATTCCATTGATAATGTCTGTGTGATTTCTTGTTATCTTTTTTTCTGATAGTTCATTGAATTTACACAAGGTCACAGCTTTAGTTGACATCAGGTCTGTCTCTTACAATAACAACTCTCTCAAATGATCTGATGTTATTCCACACACGAATCTGTCTCTCAACATTTCATCCTTTAGAACTCCATAATTACACGCTAGAGACAAAACGACGGTGCAGAGTGTCTTTCTGTTTATGATGCTGATTGACCGAAAATATTCAAAACATAACTGTGATCATTAAAAATAACGTGGTATAATGAATATTTTTAGGCAGGAAGCTCATGATCAACACGTAACCATTGACTGGCCAAAACTGAAATGATCGTCGGGTCACGTTCGCATCAGTGTTGTGTCGCGATTTCTTGTCAACAAGTTGTCCTACATGCTCGCCCGTTTTGATAAAAGACTGCTGTATTTTTCCTATATATTTTATCTGTGTGTGTATCACATATATATTATAAATCGCATCTGAAAATCGAATAACTTATCATAACACAGTAGGGTTCGTATTTCCTACATTCTTAGATCTTACTAGTTTTAGATTTACAAATTTTTGATGTTCAGTGAAGTCTAGATGATAATATTCTATCCCAATCCTTAACTTAGATTTGTTATGTTGTGTCAGCTATGAGTACACACTTTGGTTTTTGTGTATATAATATCTCGTCAAGGAGAAAGATGAATGCATCATTGTGTTTATTTAGACTGTTGTTCAGTTCAAGTCATATATGTTCCCTCCATGCTGTATCTAGGCCAAAAGATGAAAAGGGAAAGATTATATACTGATGGAAACGAAGAAGGGAACAAGCAAAAATATCGAGAATTTAGCTTCACTGTGAGTATGTTTGCAATAGCGCGTTTTCAAATTCAACACATTCAAAATCAAATGTTGGGATGTATTTGTGTGCATTGTTTCCAACTCGTATTTGGCTGGCAACCCATTATAGCGTATCATTTTACTGTGTCTGAAACTAAATGTTCCACGATGATGTTTTTTTATCAATAATGAAAAAGCAAGGACACTGAAATAACCGGATTTCCATCAAGATGCTGTCGTTTGTATTGTAACAAAATCTTTGAAACAATCTGTGCATGAACTAATCATGACCACTTTTATAAATTTTGTTTTGACAAAAAGAAACACTGACAATTTCAACGGGATTTTTTATCCGTAAATTTAAACTCACAGACAATTCTCAGTGAATGTTTTCTCCTGGCATAAATGTCATATGTCTATCATCGTTAGGATGTACTTTACAATGGTATGATTGAGGGGTGATCTAGATTTCAAACAAGGGCGCTCACTGGACTTGACTTGCCACATTCGGGTGCTTCAATATTACAGTAAATGTAACAAAATTAGCAAACTTAGAATACCGTCACTTTCAATGATGGCCAGGCAGTATATATACCGTTGAGATTTTCTGAATTTAAATACTGTAGTAAAGACAATCAGCTCTAGACTCTAGTTGCAAGTTATCCAGTGTGGTTACACTGTGTGAAAAAATAAGAACGTTGTTACACTTTTGATACAATGTATACGTTTTTGAAACCGCGACTGACGGTCAGGCACCATGAGGGATAAACACATGCACATGATATAGTCAGACTCGTACAATCGACTCTGTTTAGGGCAGATATTTCTTATCAATATGGAAAAAGGGTTTCGCCGCCTTTATTTAAAAGGATGTACACTCTTCAAAACAAGAAACGCACAGGTAGTATGTAGTTCATTAAACCTGACTTCGCAAAAAGTTTGGTATATTAATTGGATATATGTTATTGGAAAATGTTTGTGGCCTGATATTCGACAAACGATGCTTCAAAAGGCAGGCATTGTCGATTTGCAACGTCCTAAACGGCATTGTTTTCACACCTGTTAAGAAATATCATGGAGTAAACAGTAAAGCAAAATGCACGTGCAAGTTATGGCATTCGTAGCTCTTGGGAGTGGCTATAAAAAAGCAAGTATAAGCCAATAATTTGTCATTCAATTGTCAACATTTTTCAAGTTCGAAAATACCGAGACTCAGCGCTGCCGATTGGAACAACTCCATAGGACGTATCCAAAGTGGGGAATCGCATTGTTCTGTTTCACGCCTCATCAACGTCCACCACAGCAACATTTGCCACCGTTGTGGCCGATACACACAGTTCAATTCCATTGCAGACCGTCCGAGAACTGGCCGACCAAGAGTTACCACCCTTGCACAGGATCGCTAAATTCGACTGTTCCACCTACGTCATCGCAATGCCACAACTAAAGACACTGCATGACGCTTCCTTGGTTCGAGGAGGATATTGGACCAGACTGTCAGAAACCATCTTCGCGAGGCGATAATCCGACCCAGAAGACCAGTTATCATCCTATTTTGCAACAGATCCATCGAATCCATCGACAGCAACGCTTGCGTTGGTGCCATACCTTACAGCTTTGAATTTGGAGATGAGTGTGGTTTAGCGATAAATCACGATTTTCTTCTTCACTGGAGAGATGGAAGACAACGTGTTTATCGTCGTCGAAATGAGCGTTTTGCCCCACATTGTGTTGGTGAATTTGACAATTTCGGTGGCTAGTGTTAGGGTGTTTGGGGGACATATCATACACCACGAGATCTGACTTGTTTGTGGGTCAGAGAACTTTGAGAGCAAATCGCATTGATCGTTAGAGGGAGCTGTTTCACCGAGACAACGCTCTATCGCACACAGGTTGCGTCACGGTAGACTACCTTCATAATGCCAACATCAACGTCTTGCACTGGCCAGATCTCAAACCAATCGAACACCTCTGGAATAAACTCGATCGATGTGTAAGTCAACGTCACAGACACTCCCACAACTGGCCAACGCGTTACAAGCAGAATGGTGCAGAAATCCGCAGGACAGAATTCGTACCTCGGCCTTTGTACAACGTCAACATATGACTATCGAGCTCCAATATTTCATATTTGTATATGAAATGAAATCCATTGACTTTATTAGGTACAATAATTTTACTAAAAATCTACCTGTGAGTTTCTTTTTTTGAAGAGTGTATATATCAGCCTTTGTTTAATAATATCTACCACATAGTCCATGTGTTGTATGCAAATGGCATGAAGCCTTTTCTATTGTGCCGCCCTGTGTTCGCAGAGAAAACGGCCGGTTACTTTGGTGCAAGGCCTTGGCCGCAATGCAGTGACGTCATGAACAGTGTGACGTCATCGTCATTATACCTTTGCCGCCACATCCACAACTTAGGCTCTATCTGAGGTCACCGAGTGCAGCGAGATATAAACAAACAGTTTTTGTCTGTTTCACGATTAATTGTACACTCATGACACACAATTGACACTGACTAATAATATTACGAGATAAGGTGTTTACACAATAATCACACATCATCTATATCTACACATAGTTAATTTTCTTACCTGATCATGCGACAAAATATATAGAGAGATTTTTAACAAGTTTTATTTCTCCCAAAACACAATAAACATTCTCACCTAAACCGGAAATATATAACACGACGACATGAACGGCACACCACATGTCCCCCTCCAACGTCTACACAGACACGACACTGACGTCACTGAGCGCCGAGGGATACCAGGATATCCACCAGTCTCTGATGTCCCATGGATATCACCATGTCAACCGCTGTCCGCCCGTTGTTATTCTTGACATCGATGTCCTTCACGTTCAGAGACTGAACAATCCTCACGTCTCTTCTCACACAGGCCCAGTGAAGGATGCTTTCACCGACATCGTCCACCAGTGACACATCAGCTCCTTCATTCATAAGGAGCTTCACCACTTCACTGTGTCCCATCACTGCTGCCCATATCACCGGTGTCCTGCTCCCCACTCCTCTACTGTTGATGTCCAACACGTTTAGAGACAGGACAAACTTCACCGTCACCAAGTTTCCACTCACACAGGCCCAGTGAAGGGTGTTGTTACCGCCATCGTCCACCAGTAACACATCAGCGCCTTTACACTCCAGGAGCTTCACAACCTGTATGTGCCCCCAACGTGCTGCCTCCATCACCGGTGTCATGCCCCACACTCTACAGTTGATGTTGACATCACCCGCAGACAGGAGCCGCCTCACTCCCTCCAGGTCCCCGTCTGTGCTGGCGTAGTAGAGGTCGAGGTCTGCTTGTGATGGAGTCGCTGTACCACAAAGTAAACTCAATGTGTTGATACGTGACATGAACAACGATACATCATAAACTACTTCCTATATGGATGACAACAACAAACTAAGGACAAGGTTTAAGTACTTAACTAAGAATAATCGATGTATGTGACATTTTTTAAATGCTTTCTTCTACATCCAGTAACTGTAGCTGTATTCTGTGTATGGCTAGGTGTGTGTGTGTGTGTGTGTGTGTGTGTGTGTGTGTGTGTGTGTGTGTGTGTGTGTGTGATGGGGTGGGGGGGGGGTGGGGGGGGGGGGGGGTTGGGGGGGGGGGTGGGTGTGTGTTACTGACACTATCAGTACACTTGCTGTTTGAAATTAAGATAATATGATATCTATTGCTTTATATCAGCTTGTTAATTCATTACACTGTTTCAATGAAAGGTTAGGTTTGAGCTTTCTGTCTGTTGGCGTCTGCCACCTACCGTGTGAAGCAGTGGAGAGCAGTCGAATCCTCTCACTCAGGTAACTCCAGGCTGAAACAGAAACTCTAAATATATAGTAGTTTAGTGATTGTCAAATAAATTCATTGACTGTTAAAGGAAAGTTGCGGAGTTGAATCTAGGCTTCCTGGCTGATATGAATACATGGTGATCAGGCCAAATATCAAACAAAGTTGGACAATGACACAGTCTACGAAATGCTGGTGTAAGAAGGTGAAATAGTGATAATTTTCATGGTCAAAGGTAAGTAACCCTTTGTCTGGGTGCGCTGAAATACTTGTCTATAGATGTAAACACAATTGGTGATGTATATGTATATGTGATGTATATGTATATGTGATGTATTTGTATATGTGATGTATATGTATATGTGATGTATATGTATATGTGATGTATATGTATATGTGATGTATTTGTATATGTGATGTATATGTATATGTATATGTGATGTATATGTATATGTGATGTATATGTATATGTGATGTATATGTATATGTGATGTATTTGTATATGTGATGTATATGTATATGTGATGTATATGTATATGTATATGTGATGTATATGTATATGTGATGTATTTGTATATGTGATGTATATGTATATGTGATGTATATGTATATGTGATGTATATGTATATGTGATGTATTTGTATATGTGATGTATATGTATATGTATATGTGATGTATATGTATATGTGATGTATATGTATATGTGATGTATTTGTATATGTGATGTATATGTATATGTGATGTATATGTATATGTGATGTATATGTATATGTGATGTATATGTATATGTGATGTATTTGTATATGTGATGTATATGTATATGTATATGTGATGTATATGTATATGTGATGTATATGTATATGTGATGTATATGTATATGTGATGTATTTGTATATGTGATGTATATGTATATGTGATGTATATGTATATGTGATGTATATGTATATGTGATGTATATGTATATGTGATGTATATGTATATGTGATGTATATGTATATGTGATGTATTTGTATATGTGATGTATTTGTAGGTTTAAATTAATTTTGACAGTCCGGGGCAAGTCAGAGCAAACACATGTGACAGAGATTTCCTTGTGAAAATACTGTAAAAGACTTCGAGCATGCCTGATATTGTATGAAATTATGAAAACACGGTCTAGCATGCCAACATTTAATGTTTAAGATAATGTAAATTGAGAATAACCAGTATTTATGATCTGCTGCAGATATAGGCAGAATAGCTCTGAAAATATCAATGGACTACTGATAAATCAGTGATGATACCAGTTGTTTGCGACAAGGGTAAACATGTACTGCTCTACCAGGAACATGTGCCATTCACACATTCGTTTTTCAACACATTCATTTTTAATTCCGGATTTATTTTATTTTTTAACTGACACACGGTTGGAAACGTTTGGCTCATGACCTTCACATTTTCCTTTGCTCAAACTATAGTTGTTCTCAAATGAGGATCGCCTGTCTTGGTTTGTGACTTCAGTGGGGGTAGAAACTCGTGGGGTGTTTAAGCCTGTTGTCTGTGTTACTGCAGTGGAGGCATAATGGTGCCTGTCTTGGTGTTAAAGCCTGTTGTCTGTGCAGCTGCAGGTGAGACCTGTAGAGTACCTGTAAACTCTGATGTCTGTGTAGGTACAGTGGGTTAGAGGCCCGTGGACTGTCTGTTGTGAAGGCAAAGTATGTTCTCTGTGTGGCTGCAGGGAGGATAGAGGCCTGTTGCCTTGGTGATTCCGCTGTATGTGTGGCTGCAGTGAAGGCCTGATGTGTGCCTTCCTCGATGTTAAACTATGTTGTCCGCGTGGCTGCAGTAGAGACCTTAGATGTGTGTCTTTTGGTTATAGTAAGGAGGTATCGAACTTGTTGTAAACTATGTTTGTATAACTAGAGTGAGACAAAGGCCTGTGGACACCTTAAGTAACATAAAGTATGTTTGCTGTGTGGCTGACGTGAGTGTAGAGGCATGATTCGTGTCTTTATGGTAAAGACTGTTGTCTGTGTCGCCGCAGTATAAACCTTGGGATGCCTGTTTTGGTGGTGAAGTCTGTTGTATGTGTGGTCGAAATAAGTACATTTTGGTGTCGGTCTTGGTGATTATGTCTGATGTATTTGTGACCAAAATAAGTACCTTGAAGTGCCTGTCCTGGTCAGAATATCTGATGTATGTGTGACTGAAATAGGCACCTTGGGGTGCCTGTCCTGGTCATAATGTCTGATGTATGTTTGACCGAAATAGGGACCTTGGGTTGTCTGTCCTGGTCATAATATCTGATGTATGTGTGACCGAAAAAGGTAATTTGGGGTGTCGTCTTGGTAATAATATCGGATGTACGTGTGATCGAAATTGGTACCTTGGGGTGCCTGTCCTGGTCATGTCTGATGTATGTGTGACCGAAATAGGGACCTTGGGGTGTCTGTCCTGGTCATAATCTCTGATGTATGTGTGACCGAAATCGGTACCTTGGGGTTCCTGTCTTGGTCATAATATCTGATGTGTGTGTGACCGAAATAGGTACCTTGGGGTGCCTGTCCTGGTCATAATATCTTATGTATGTGTGACCGAAATTGGTACCTTAGGGTGCCTGTCCTGGTCATAATGTCTGAGGCACTCGTGAAGAACAACCTCCCCGTGGTGAGTGCTGGGTAACGCTAATAGCTCTTCCCCCGTGTGGAACCGGGGTAGAATGTTTCCACAGCACCCCACTGCTGGTCGTAAAAGGCGACCGAAATGGGCAACCTGTTTGCCGTTGGTTGCGCCCCTGTGTCGGTGGAGGACGGGATTCTGGTGGTTGAGGGCACTGGAGCCAGGAACAGTGTTCCTTTGCCCAACACACCACTTCGACCCTTACTTCACCTAGATGGCCCCGATTCTATCAATCGGCAGGTCACGCCATGCCCTGTGCATGGAATACTTAAATGGAATAATTTCGATATATATCAACCAAATATTGATCAGGATATATCATAAACTTGATCCTGTTAATTTCAATTTTGCCTAGAATCCTATGCCAGAAGGCGGTGGCTCATGGGCTAATCTGGCATTATAAACCTCTGAATTCTGTGTTTCTCCAGAAAAGTGTCATGGGCGAACCAGCCTGGCATTTCTTCTGTCAGATTCCATAGCTATTCACGTTTCTATTTGCTGGAGTATAACATCTCTGTAGCCCTGGTGGTGCAGGCGGGCTTCCACTGTACCATCGTCCTTGTTGACACTCCATGGCGGGTGGGGAGCAGAGATGTCGAAACATTTACTTACACCATGGCTCTTCCCATTCCATCTGGTTCATCAAAGAATAAACGGAGACATGTTGAGTCTTTATCGTCTGATGAAGACTCGTCTGAAATTGTTGACTCTTGGCCCAGGTTTATTGTGATGAAACACCTTTAAAACTGAACCCATTTGCCATCTCCTTGGGCATTAAAGGCGTCTGTGGAGAAGTGAAGAACGTAACACGACTCCGAAGTGGTTCACTGTTAGTGGAATATGCACGGAGACAACAATCTGACAATCTCTTGATATTAAAACAGTTTGTGAATATTCCAGTTGTTGTCTCAGTGCACCAGACACTGAACTCCTGCAGAGGCATAGTCAGAGACAGGGCTCGTTGTCTTTCTGACATGAGTGAGGAGGAAATTGCAGCTGAGCTGAAAAATCAATGAGTAATTGCTGTAAAGGGATTTACGAAAAAGAAAGATGATGGCACAATTACCAAACTAAACACTTATCTGTTTACATTTTCACTTTCATCAATTCCAAAGAATTTAAAAGCTGGATACTTCAACATCGGAGTGGAGGTATATGTACCAGATCCAATCCGATCCTTCAAATGTCAAAAGTTTGGTCATGGGGCCAAGTTTTGCCGGAACAGCTCGGTATGTTCCCGTTGTGGTGGAGCTCATGAGGGCCCTGAGTACTCCAACTGCTTCAAGTGTGTTAACTGCAACGGAGAACACTTGGCCTCATCCAAATCCTGTCCCTTATATGATCGTGAAGCAAAAATCAAAAAATCAAACACTCTAGCAATATTTCATACTTTGAAGCTAAAACGTTGGTGCCTCGTCCCACCAAATCAACCTTAACCTATTCAGCTGCAGTTTCCTCTCCTGCTCCTGTTGCCAGACCTACCATGAGAACAACATCGTCTCAAACAACGTTGTCTTGGGTTGATGAACAAATCATTCTCAATGACCATTCCGAGTCTCTTCATTCTCTGTCAAATGTTTCCACATCAGCCTCACAGACAGACATTGTAACACCTTCAGCAGATTCTTCATCTGAACATGAAATTGTCCCTGCAATAGTACAGGGCGAAGCCCACTTGTCTTTAAAGAAAAAAAAGCAATTGAAAAAAAGGCCAGGGCCCTCCAGCATTTGTAGGTGCCTTCCACATCTATAAAGGTTCACAATCAGTCTGAACCTTTGGAGATGGAGGTCAGTCCTTCACTCCCAGTTCATGGGGATGGACCTCCCCCCCGCTCACGATCTCCAGTTGAGCCAACATGAGTAGCTCTCCTAATTTTATCCAATGGAATTGTAGAGGACTTCGGATCAATTTCAATGATCTTCAGCTATTAATACAGGATTTCAAACCATCTGCATTTTGCTTACAAGAAACTTTCCTTAAACCAACAGATAATTTTGATTTACGACAGTACGATTCTTGCCATTGCTTTTCCGCTCCAGAGAATAAAGCAACTGGAGGGTCCTCTGTTATGGTGAGGCAGGGCGTCATTCACAGTCCTGTTCCTCTTAATACCCCACTTCAGGCTGTTGCAGTACGTGTGACATTGAATATTGTTTTTACTTTGTGTTCTTTGTATATACCACCATCGTACTCTCTCCGACAGTCTGATCTTCAGGCACTATATGACCAACTCCCTACGCCTTGTGTTATCATGGGAGATTTGAATGGCCATAACCCATTTTGGGGTAGCAGTGACACTAATAATAGAGGAGAGGTACTTGAGGATTTTCTCTTAAATAATGATTTGTGCATTTTTAATGATGGTA